TAACCTCGAATTGACATACCCGTAGTTCCTGTAAGTTTTCTGGTGTAGGGTTTTATTTTTGTTATTGATCCGCTCTGCGTAGGGTGGTCAGTCAGTTTACTTACTTTCTGTTTCTTTTTAAGGGTGGCCAATTTCACTAAGGCCCCTCTGATTACAGCCTTATGGGCTGCCCAGATGGTAGCAGGGGGGATGCTATCTGTGGTGTTCAGGGCGAAGTAAGATTTTATCTCTTCCCTAACCTGTTCGACTATGGTCGGGTCTCTAAGGAGTGCTGCGTTAAGCCAAGGGGTGGCCGCGCAGAGGTTGGTCAGTGTTAGCGCTATGTCTGCATGGTGCCATAGTGCCGATGTGGGAATGGTTCGCCCTGGGGACCGTTATTCCGTTAACTAGGAACATGTCGATCCGTGAGTATGTGTTGTGTGGGGTGGAGTGCTTGGATTGTGTGCCCTCCATATGTCGATGAGTCCTGTCTGTTGTATGAAGTGGTGGAGGAGCCCGTCGTGCGTCCCCCGCCCTTGAGAGCGGAGCCGGGCACCCCAGAGCTCCTATCCATCACTGGTCCCCTCCAATAATTATGATCCCATGAGGGAGGTTAGCTAGTTGGATTGCCAAGGCGTCCCAAAATGTTGGTGTTGGGTCGTTATAGGCATACACATTCTTAAGGTGTATAGTGTGGGAGTATAATGTGCTGGAGAGAATAAAGGATCTGCCCTCCGGGTCCGAGACTGTCCTCATAACTTGAAGTGGGCATATGTTGTTTATTGCTATGGCTACTCCATTACGTTTTTGAAACGCTTTTGCCTTGGAAACAGTGCGAAAGTTGTGGTGTCTTAGGGCTACCTGAGTACCATCGGTGTAGGTGCATCTCCTGTAGGAAAGCAACATCAGTGTTTAGGCATTTAATTTTCGCTTTTGGGGGCGTTCAACCCCTTTGTATTAAGGGATATTATATGCAAGGACATTGTGAAGCCTTCCAGGGCTTCCGCCGGCAGTCCCCTCAGCCATGCACCAAAATCACCTTTGTGTGTAACCAGAACTGTATCATAAAACTTAGCTGAAACCTTAACTATGTAAGAATGCGGGTTTTGAGGGGATGCATCCTTAAAGGGGGGTATCAATCTCCTGGCGTTGTTGGTGTAGGTCTTCCCCGTAGTGCGTTATGGTCAGTGTGTTAGAGGAGGTTTTGGCACTGTGGGTACTTGGGGGAGTGTCTAGATGAGGCGCGGCACCTGAATGGGTGAGTATCGGTGCTATCAAAGGGCGCGTATGTTCGGGGGCATTGTGCCCTACCCCTGTGCATCGGGGGGAGGGAAGGGGGCTGCTGTGAGTGATTGACCAAGGTATGTGGTCGTCTGCACCGTTATTGCGGTATGCCCCACTTCTTTACTAGGCTCGTGTATATAGATTGTGTGGGCTGCTATCTTGGTGGAAGCTTGGGTGTACATTTGTAGCTATAAGCAAGCATGCAAATTAAAACGTCAACATATTTATAAGTAATTAGAAAGGGTTTCTATCTGTGATGGAGGAGGGAGTTGGAAGTCCTGAGCACATGTTTTGTTTTGTTTTTGTTTGTTTTTTGTTTACATACGGCTGTTCGGGTAACGGCCCATAACGGTCTTCTCTAGGACACTTCTCCTTCATTCCGTCTTGGCCCCAGGATAAGTGTATGGTTCCACAGGAGTGGGCATGGCCCTCTGTATAAGCAATTATGTGGAATCCCTCAGGGTGCGGTCAGTGTGGGCTGTATCTCCTGATCAAGATGCAGACTGCTGCCTGTGGGATGCATTTCCCGTACCCCTCCCCAAATCTCAGCCCTTAATTAGTCCTCTACGTTCTCCCCCAGGCAGGAGTCCCCAGTACATGTGATTCCATGTACCCATGCTAAGGCTGTCCATTAGCCTTTTCTCATCCGTGTTGTGTCCTTCTTTGGAAAGGGTGGGCAATGCGGACGTGTCTGGTGGGGTCGGTTGTCGGCTCTTTTAGCACTCAGGGATGTATGTGCCCTGTCGATATGCCATAGTTCACCCGGAATATCTGGGCACAGGATTGGGAGTATGATGTCTGCCATTGGTCCCTCACCCTCTCCCTCTGGTAAGCCCCTGAGGCGTATATTGTTGCGCCTGGACCTATTAGCTAGGTCTTCAATGGTTGCTTCAGCTGTTTGGAGCCTGGCTGTGAGTGATGAGACTCTGTCCATTACCAGGTCATTGGTTGTAGCTGTCTCTTCTAGCTTTTGCTCCAGGACGGCCGTCCGTACCCCCCGAGCGTGTATTTCGGCTTTAAACTTCGCTTGTGGAGCGGGTAATCTCCCTTGCCAAGTATGAGCGTACCTCCGACAGGTTTTGGAGGATTTGGGCTGTGTCCGGTAGTGGCATGTGAGGTCCGCCGTCTTCCTCATCATCAGTGGCCACTCCAGAGGCAAGTGGTGGCGGTTGGCCGCCATTTTGGCTCCCAGCCTGAGCCACACGGGAGGCTGCAAAAAGGTCTGTCACTTTCGTGCCCGTTTCCGACCCATTTTTGGGGTGCTTGCGTGGGGTGCCTTTGTCCATGGAGCTGTTGTGGCTGTAGTAAGGTATGGTTCTGTTGTTCTTGGGCTTATGTGAGCTATTAGCAGGTTATTCCGAGTGGAGCTCTACACACATGCCCCAGATCATGGGGATTAACGGGTGGAGAGACACAGATCATGGGGTTTAACAGGTGAAGAGAGACAGTTTATGGAGGTTAACAGGTGGAGATAGGCACAGATTATTGGGTTTAACAGGTGAAGAGAGACAAATCATGGAGGTTAACAGGCGGAGAGACATATATAATGGAACTTAACAGGTGGAGAGAGACACAGATGGTTAGCACATGGAGAGAGACTGATCATGGGGGTTAACCGGTGGAGAGACATAGATCATTGGGATGAACAGGTGGAGAGAGACACAGATTATGGGGGTTAACAGGTGGAGAGAGACAGCTCATGGAGGTTAGCAGTTGGAGAAAGAGACAGATCATGGAAGTTAACAGGTGGAGAGAGAGATCATGGGGTGAACAGGTGGAGAGTGACACAGATCATGAAGGTTAACAGGTGAAGATAGACAAAGATCATGGGGCTTAACAGGCGGAGAGACATATATCATAGAACTTAACAGGTGGAGAGAGACACATATCATGGTGGTTAGCATGTGGAGAGAGACAGGTTAACAGGTGGAAAGGGAAACAGATCATGGGGGTTAACAGGTGGAGAGACATAGATCATGGGGATGAACAGGTGGAGAGAGACACAGATCATTGTGGTTAACAGGTGGAGAGACACAGATCATGTGGGTAAACAGGTGGAGAGAGACACAGATCAGGGAGTTTAACAGGCAGAACAGATGGAGAGAGACATATATGGGGGTTAATAGGAGGAGAGACATAGATGAGGGTTAGCAGGAGGAGAGACACACATATCCTGGGGGTTAGCACATGGAGATAGACAGATCATGGCGGTTTACAGGTCGAGAGAGACACGGATCATGGGGCTTAACAGGAGGAGCGAGACACAGATGGGGGTTAACAGAAGGAGAAACATAGATGAGGTTTAACAGGAGGAGAGACACACGTGAAGAGAGACAGATTATGTGGGTTAACAGCTAGAGAGAAACAGATGGGGGTTTGCACAGTATGAGAGAACCAAATGGGGTTGATAAAGGAGGAGAGATAACGATAGGGAGATGAAGAGAAAATGCAGAGTATAGTACACTGTTAATAGCTCTAGCTAGCTGGAGAATATAGTGCTGGGGTGAGCTCTTCCCCAGACACTAGAAAACACTTAGTAAAAGGTACAACAACAACATTTATTGTCACGAAACAGGCATATTTATAGGGACAATCACAATAGGGCGTTATCAACTTTGACAATAGGTTTCTTCACTGGCACTGCTGTGTCTGGGAGATAACTCAATTATCTAGTGCAGATAAGAGGGCTCTATATAACAGTGCAGTAGAAAAATATATACTTTTCTAAAATAGTACATTAACAAATTTTGCATCCCCAGACAAGGCTGGTTCACACAAGCAATATGTCCAAAATCATTGAGTGAAGTTAGACTTGGCTGTGGCTACTTCCCGATCCGGAGCAGAGTTTCAGGCTGTCGCGGCTAAAATGCCAGTTTTCGAAAAAAAAACAAAAAACAGCACACCACACAGCCCTCTTCTCACATATCACACACAGCATATTCAGTCACACCACACAGTCCTCTTCTCACATATTACACACAGCATATTCAGTCACACCACACAGCCCTCTTACATATTACACACAGCACATTCAGTCACACCACACAGCCCTCTCACATATTACACACAGCACATTCAGTCACACCACACAGCCCTCTTACATATCACACACAGCATATTCAGTCACACCACACAGCCCTCTTCTCACATATCACACACAGCATATTCAGTCACACCACACAGCCCTCTTCTCACATATTACACACAGCACATTCAGTCACACCACACAGCCCTCTTCCCACATATTACACACAGCACATTTCAGTCACACCACACAGCCCCTCTTCTCACATAATACACACAGCACATTTCAGTCGCACCACAGCCCTCTTCTCACATAATACACACAGCATTCCGAGTCCACACCGCACAGCCCTCTTCTCACATATTACACACTTAGCACATTTCAGTCCGCACCACACACAGCCCTCTTCACCACATATTACACACAGCACATTCAGTCACACCACACGGCCCCCTCTTCTCACATATTGCACACACAGCACATTCAGTCACACACACAGCCCTCTTCTCATATTACACACAGCACATTCAGTCACACCACACAGCCCTCGCACATATTACACACAGCACATTCGAGGTCACACCCACAGCCCTCTTACATGGCCACACAGCACATTCAGTCACACCACACAGCCCTCTTCTCACATATTACACACAGCACATTCAGTCACACCACACAGCCCTCTTACATATTACACACAGCATATTCAGTCACACCACACAGCCCTCTTACATATTACACACAGCACATTCAGTCACACCACTCAGCCCTCTTCTCACATATAACACACAGCACATTCAGTCACACCACTCAGCCCTCTTCTCACATTACACACAGCACATTCAGTCACACCACACAGCCCTCTTCTCACATATTACACACAGCATATTCAGTCACACCACACAGCCCTCTTACATATTACACACAGCATATTCAGTCACACCACACTGCCCTCTTACATATTACACACAGCACATTCAGTCACACCACACAGCCCTTTTATATATTACACACAGCACATTCAGTCACACCACATAGCCCTCTTACATATTACACACA